TTAAAAAGTTGAATTGTCAAGTCTTTAGCCTAGACAAGTATTTAGTTAGAAGAAACTGTCAAGGCTGTAGCCTTTATATTCCCACCATGTATAAGAGTTTCAGCTATTCCCTGTCCTTCCAACTGGTGTGGTCTGTGTTTTTAATTTTACTTTTTTTGATAGTATGTAGTTATAAAAGTCATGGCTGTAATTTGTTTTGCCCTAAAGAATAATGATGTTGAGTACGTTTTTTATTTGCTTATTAATCATTTGGATATTTTCTTTTTTGAAGTGCCATTTAAGACTTTCCCTCCATGTTTTTTAAAAAAAATTTTAATGCTTTTTAAAAATTTATTTCTGAGAGAGAGAAAGACAGTGCGAGCAGGGGAGGGTTAGAGAGAGAGGGAAACAGAATCCAAAGCAGGCTCCAGGCTCTGAGCTGTCAGCACAGAGCCCAACATGGGGCTCCTACCCACAAACTGTGAGATCATGACCTGAGCTGAAGTCGGACGCTTAACTGACTGAGCCAACCAGGCACCCCTCCCTCTATTTTTTAAGTTGGGTTTTTATCCTTTTCTTTTTGATCTGTAGTTCTTTATACTTACTCAGTATGAGTCCTTTGTTAGATATATATATTAAAAATATCTTCTCCCAGTCTATGGATTAACTTTTCCTTTCCTTAAAGAAGTCTCTTGAACAGGCTTTGATTTTGACAAAGTGCAATTTGTTGTAATTTTTTTTTCTTTTAAGAATAGTGCTTTTTGTGTCCTGTTTAAGCAATCTTTACATATCTCAAGGTTTTGAAGATCTTTTCCTATATTTTCTTACAGAAACTCTATAATTTACTTTTCATATTTTGATTTATGACTTACCTTGAATTAAGTTTGTAGAAGATGTAAGTAGTTAAGATTCATTTTTCCCCCTGTACATATAGCAGATATTTCTAGTATCATTTATTGAAAGTACTTTCTCTTCCCCCTTTGTATTTATTTATGCCTTTATTGTACATTGACTGTATACATGTGGATCTAATTCTGGGCTCCCTGTTCTGTTGCAGTGACTTGTTTGTCTATCCTTATGCCATTACTTCACTGTCTTATTAACTGTAGTTTTATCGTAAGTCTTAAAACCTGATCCACTCATTTTTGATATTTTTTAGAAACTGTAATAAGTTACATTTGATTTTGTGATACAGCTTTCCCAAATGTTATAAAATGAAAAATTCATATATTTAATATTTAGTTGAAAGTGAATAAACTTAGAACAAACTGTTTTATAATAGATTACAGAGATAATTAACTTGTTTTTTAGGTATGAGAGGACAGAATTAACTTTGCAGAAATTTTGCTTTTAAAAATGATTTATAGGGGTGCTTGAGTAGCTTAGTCAGTTGAGCATCTGACTCGACGCAGGTCATGATCTTGCACTCTGTGAGTTCGAGTCCCGTGTCGGGCTCTGTGCTGACAGCTCAGAGCCTGGAGCCTGCTTCAGATTCTGTATCTCCCTCTCTCTCTGCCCTTCCCCCACTCACACTCTGTCTCTCTCAAAAATAAACATTAAAAAATTTAAATAAATAAAAATGGCGTATAGTTTATGTTAACCCAAGATTAAAAGATGTTATAATGTACTGATATCTTCACTGGAAGTTATGAAAATATCAGAAAGATAGTTACTGAATATGGAAAGTGCTATATCATAGTGCTGTATCATAGGCAAGACACTTAATAGGCTATTTAAGCCATAGGTTCCTAGGCACACTCTACTCTTTTTTTGTTCTAATGTTCTCTCTGTAGTAGCATTCTCTTATAGCCTCCTCTCTAGATCTTCTAGTGGTCATTAAACATCCATATTATTTTTAGAAATTAAGTATTTTATGCATTTGTATCAGAGGCCTAGTAGGAAACAGAAGATACACTGTGCTGGGAATTTGAAGAAAAGTTAATGAAGCTCTTATTTAAAGACATAAGAACCAGGGTAAAGGAAATCAACATGGCACCTGGAGATTAGTAATAGCAAGGAATGGGGATGGCATATTGCCCCTGAACTAGCAATACGAAATGATGTTATAGACCTTCCGTGAGAACTAGAGGCATGGGAGATGGGCTGCTGAAAAGGAGCTATAGCTATAGAGGGTTGCTGCCTAAACCAAGGAAGCACCTGCGAAACAAATATCCTGACCTCTTCTCCATCCTGATTTGCCTGCTGGTACCTCCCATTGGACAAGTCTCCTCAGAAAACTATAGATGTAGTCTGTAAGGGTCAGTCTCTTAGGGCACAGTAGCAGGGATTGAAAGGCCAAACGTTGATCTGGATTGGTGAGAATGGTGGCAAACCCAATAATCTGCACAGATTAATTCCTTGTAGCTGAAAATATGAATGACAAGTCCTTTTTTCCTTTTTAATTTAGTGATTTCCCATATAATTTATGGTCTAAAATAAACACATTTTGTTTTATTTTTGCCAATGCACCCAGAGTTTTCTTTATAACATAATGTACAGGACCAAATAATCATTTCTCTTCCAGAAAAAGCAGCTTAGATGCAGTTTAGAAGAGCATATGAGATCTAGCATAATATCTTCTCTTTCATTTGTCATTTGAACATTTCCAAAATAGATAGTTCTCATAAATTATTTGAATAGGCTTTCTTTTTGCATTTTGCAATGACCATGAATATATTTAGGAGTAATATGAAACTATTTCTGCCTTTTATAACCTGTCATATATTTAAACGTCACATAACAGAACCATCTTAAATAAGTAACATTTGAATTGATGGTAATGAGAAAATTTAAGCAAAACTTTTAGAAGTGTACTTGTTTATTTTCTTTTTTCTCAGTATGTGGAAAATTTTCAACATTTCTTTTCACATGGAAAGAGACAAGATAATGTGTCATGATCTCAGAAATAGCTTTTGAATATTTTAGTTCATATACATCACACAGTTCCTTTTCTGTACTATAATTATCTCCATCACAGATAATATTCCGGGAATGTTCAATTCATATGTAAGCAGAAATATGACAGAAGCCTGAACTGAAATAGCAACTGCACAAGCTAATCACTTAAGTTATATCTTTAAATACCTTTTACCTAGGTTCATGATGGTCCGTAGTGGAAAAAATGGTGACCTTCATCTTAAGCAGATTGCATATTATAAACGAACTGGTGAATATCATCCAACTACACTACCAAGTGAGAGAAGTGGCATAAGAAGAGCAGCAAAAAAATTTATCTTCAGAGGTAACTTTAATGCCCCAATTCTTAAGTATAGAGTAAATATAGATGTTTTCCATGTATGTTCTCTGTGGAGTCCTGAGAATTTCTGTAGTAGCTGGTGTTGCTTAACCACTCACTCAGAAGCAAAATAAAAATGACACTGAAGCCTGTAAGCATGAAAAGGACATTTTAAATCATAGGCCAAAAATGATCCTATGAAAAAAATGAAACATTCACCTAAACTAACCTCTCCTGCTTTTGTCCTCAGGTGGTTCCAACTTTAATGACACTGTCTAGCACTTATGTCACTATTAATGAAGAGCTTGACAGATGCTAATATGAAATTGTTGACATTAACTTTTCTTACTATATTTATTCCTGTGGTCTCCCTCTGCCATCAGATATCCTCAGGATCACATTCATTTTTGGACACCTAATCCCCCTGAGTGATTGAATATTTGAAAGGCAGTAGAATATTTATGTTGAAAAATTATTATAATTTTTCTCTCTTTCTCCTCTTCCTTCATAGGAAAGAGAAGTTTGCAATGAAATAAGCTGAAAGTTTAGTCACCAGATAACTAAATGAATGTTGGAACTATTAATGGGAGTTTTGTCTATAGGTAGAAAATCAGGCTTCCTTAAAAGCAGTTGAAGAAGACTCTTAATAAAATAAATAACCTCCTCATATCTCTCTGTGTATACCCCTTCCTATAATTCCTCTACACTTAATAAGGACACCTTATACCTCTTGGTAAAGTTAGGATTCATTCATTTATTTATTTAATCACCTATGGAACAAATGTTTACCAAGTTCCTACTATGTGCCAGTCACATTTTATCCTGAGGATAATACATGTATGAATAAGTTAGATAAGGTTCCTACTCGTAAGTTGCTTACCTTCTACTTCAAGTAATGTTCCACTCAGCATATAGTTACTTAAGCACATTAATAACTTAATGCTGTATTTTAAGTTTAAGTTCACACTGGAGAGATACTGATTCTCACCCTGTTTGATTGCTTTCCAGCTGTAGATTCTTCTCAGGTGCCCTACAAAGGAAAACAGAGAGCTGTCTTAAGGATAAAGGTTCTCCTACTTTCCTGCTTTACAAACCACACTTCTTGTTCAAATCTAGAAAAACTTAACAGAGATGGTTGCTTAAAAAAATGTAGTTATGGTGAAATACCGTTCCAGAAGTTGCTTATCTGTACATAATTAATCTAATTCATGCCATTTTTAGGAGGTGCCTGCAAGTATTTTCCAGTTTGAGCACTCCTCTGGAAAGATAATTTCATACTTCTGTAGTTATTACATGTTTTGGGGAGCAAGCTAGCTCAACTGTAGAGATAGCTACAAAATTACAGCAACTGGTGTTCCTCCTATGTATCTAGTAAGTTCAGCAGCTGAGGACCTTTCAGACTGCATGTATTCATTACAAATAAATAATGCTGTCTTAGAGGGAAAAAGAGTTAAAAAAAAAAAAAAAACCAAAAACATAATGGGTTGAAGATAAGGCTGTGATTATTTTAAAACTATATTGGGCTCTAAAAATTACAATTATGTCTTTCTGGCATTATTTATTCCAGAGAAAAAGCTGTTTTATGTTGGAAAAGACAGAAAACAAAATCGTTTGGTAATTGTTTCAGAAGAAGAAAAAAAGAAAGTTCTAAGAGAATGCCATGAAAATGACACTGGAGCCCATCATGGCATATCCAGGACCCTTACTCTAGTGGAATCTAGTTATTATTGGACTTCTGTGACCAATGATGTCAAACAGTGGGTATGGCTTATGTATTAAGAATATTTTAGGGGTGCCTGGGTGGCTCAGTTGGTTAAGTGTCCGATTCTTGAATTTGGATCAGGTCTTGATATCACAGTTGTGAGATTGAGCTGCGCATCAGGCTCCTTACTGGGTTTGGACCTTGCTTAAGATTCTCTCTCTCCTCTCTCTGTCCCTTCCCCGCTTGTGAATGTGCAAGAATATTTTAAATAATGTCTTTGTAATAGATACCCAAAATTCTTTATTGCTCCAGATTTACTCTAGATATTACCTCTTCTTAAGCACTTTTTGTACAGTAGTTTTTTACAGAAACATTCAAAAGTTGTTTTGCTTCCCATCAAAGTTCTCCCCTAAAATCACTAAAGTATAATTTGAACTAAAACTTTATTTAGACATTTGAAAAATAGCATATTTAAATAGATTATTTAGAACCAGATTTTCATCATTGAACTCTTTTGTGTAGGCAGAATTAAAATGGGGCTGAAATTCCTTTGACTAAATGATTACCTCTTTGATGGCAATCATGTGATCTTTTCTTGAGAGTATGTTCATAAGTCAGGTCCATTGTGTGCCGTCATCTTTTGTGCATATTTCATCTTCATATGGAAAGTGTCAAATATGGTAGATACCCACGATCAACCAAAGGTAAAATCAAGTTGCAAAATAATGAAATTAGTCTGAGTTTTGTAACTTTGTGACCTATTAAACCTTCAACTTCTTCTTATAGGAAATTCATCTAGGAATTGTGGTATTCTTACCGGTAGGTCATCTGATCCCTACTCTTTCTAGTGTACTTTATATGATGAATGGTAGGAATTCCTTGGTATGTATATAAGATCCCTATAATAATTATAATAGTATATCAAAAAGATAGTCATTTCAGGTATAAAGAATTAAACCAACATCGAAGAATCATTTATGAGTTGTCAGTTTGTAGTCTATGCATATATTCTAAGACCTCAATAATTGTATTTGCCTTTATAACCTGCCACACATTCCTTTATTCAAAGTAATATTTGCCAAATTTTTATCATTTGAGAATAGATATGATTTTTGGAAATAATCAGAGGTTATTATGAAAACTAGTACATAAATTAGAAGATAAATCTTTTGATTTAAAGTAACTGTAATACAGTTTATAGTTTATAAGATAGTTTACAGTTTATAAGATAGTTTATAAAATTTTGTTCACAGGTTGGTTTGAAAGAAGTTTCCAAAGTGGAATTCTAGAAATATGTTGAGCAGTGGCAGCATTCACTTGTTAATCACTTCTCATCCCACTCATGTAAAAAGCTCCATGACAGCATGGGGTTTGTTTTTGGTCTTTCTATTTTCTTGAGACCTGGAGGGATTTCTGGCATCTTAATAAAATTATGTTTTAATAAACATTGTTGGGATAGATTAATGACTGCATTTATTAGAATGATAACTTTAAAAGAAAGAAATCTTTCGCTTATGGAAATTATTGTATATTCAGCTACTGACTTAAAATTTTAACAAATTTGACATAAGAAATTTGTTTGAAGATTTATTCATTTAATAAATATTTATTGAATATAAACTATTATTCCATGTGAATTAGACCCATTTAAGGTAGTCATTGGATTGTAATAACAAGTAATATTTGCTTATTATTCTAAATAAAGGGTTTTAGTCTGAGAATAGCCTAAAAGTTTCTCTTAAAAAAAACAAAGTACAAATTAACCATTTTAACGTTCAGATTTATAAGACTGTTTTTATTATGTTGAATATATTAACATCTATATTTCTTTTTTTTACCATATTTTTACTGTTTATAGGTATATGCTTGTCAGCACTGCCAATTGGCAAAAAACACAGTTATTCTAGCACCTAAACAGCACCTTCTCAAGGTGGAGAATCCGTGGAGTATAGTTACTGTTGATCTGATGGGCCCATTTCATGCAAGCAACAGAAGTCATGTGTATGCTATAATCATGACAGATTTGTTCACAAAATGGGTTGTGATTTTGCCTCTCTGTGATGTTTTACCGTCAGAAATTTCTAAAGCTATGGTCAATATATTTTTCTTATATGGACCGCCACAGAAAATAATAATGGACCAAAGAGAGGAGTTCATTCATGAGGTAAGATAAGTAACTTAGGTCTAAGAGCATATTTTACTTACCTTTCAGTGTCTTAACTAATGAAAAGCCTCACTCTAAAAGCATATAGTGCTTAGAGATAATAATGACACTATGAAGCTGTTATGAATCACCAGTTTTTTCCAGTTATGTTTAAAGTCATATGATAACTCAGGAGCTTGGAAATTTTACCAAAGGTAACAATAAATGTTTATAAGCATTTTTGTGAGGTTTAATAGCAAAAGACTAAAAATAACAGAAAACTGAGAAATTTTGTTCTTTTTGCCATGATTTCAGTGGTTTAAATATTACACAGAGAGCCTAATGGTGCAAAATGAAATTTTTTTTTCTTCCAGAAAATACAAAGAAAACACTGCCAAAGTGTTGAAATAAGATTAGAATATCACAGAGTTGAATGAACATACAGATGTTTCAATAAAATGCATGAACTCTTTGTAAATGTCTGAAGGAAAGACAATAAACATTGTCAAAGGAAAATCTGCTCTTTTTGATTTTAAAGATAGGTACTTAAGGAAAACCAAAATTATAACCAGTAATAGAATGTCTTGTTTCATGGAAGCAAAAAGCCCTGTTGGGGTAAGGATATCAGGATAGCATTCCACAAATGAATTCACTGCATCATTCCTAGGCAACTTCTTGAAACAAAGTTGTCTGATCCTTTTCTAGAGGTCAGTTATTTAAAGCCATTGATTATAACATCAGATTGAGGCTGACACACATGACACCAATTCTCTGGGATTTCTCTCTCTCTCTTTCTCTCTCTTTCTTTCTCTCTCTCTCTCTCCACCCAGTGTGGGGCTCAGACTTAAAATCCTGAGATCAAGAGTCATGTGCTATACCCATGGAGTCATCTAGTGCCTCTTTAGGATTTCTTCTTAATTACTTTTGAATTAAAAGGAGGCAGCCTAAACTAGTACATATATTAGCTAGGAACTCTATTAACTGCAAGTAAGAGAACTCCTCTCTTCTGCCACATATATAAATTCCAAAAGGTAAAAGAAGGCCAGGTTGTCCAAAGTTGGAAGGGTAAACTCTGAATATCATTGGGGACCCATACTTATAGTTTTCTGTTCCACCATCTTTGAGATGTGACTCTCAGTCTTATGCTAACGATATGGCTGCCAGAGCTCATGCCACAAAGTCTGTATTTCAGACAGAAGGAATGGGGAGGACAACAGACAAAAAAAAGCTAGTATCATCTGAGTCTGCCCCAAAACTTCCATATACATCTTTTTTGACCAGAACTATATCACATGACTACCCCTACCTTCAAGGGAGCCTGGGAAATGTGGTTTTTTGTTGTTTTTTTTCCCCTCATTTATTAGCTTTATCTTTTTAGTTACTATGATAGATACTACTTCTTACAATTAAGCAACAAGAATATAATCTTTCAAAAGACAAGTTTATTAATCAAATATTTACCCAGTTAAAAATAATAAAATATAGTCCAAGGCATAGGTAGGAAAAATAAGTTATTCCACATTTTATAGGCTTACTGTTAGAAGTTTTTTAAACTCATTTTAGCTTTTGTTAGGTCCTGCAGGTAATAAAATAACCACAACAGTAATAGTAACATTACAAGTTATAAAGTGCTTAACTACTTGCCAAGAACTGTTTTGGGTGCTTTACAAACATCTACTCCTATAATTCTCAAGAGTCCAGGTAGGATTTTCCTCATTTTACAGATGAGGAAAGTGAATACACAGAAGTTTGGTTACTTGTCAAAGTCACACAGCTGTTAACCAGATTATGTAACCTAGGGTTTTTTTGAGAAATTGTTTGCTGAAATAAAATGTTACATGAACTCAAGGTTAGTGTTAAATTCTGTTCTTTCATTTTCTTACTAAGTGTATATGTTTAGCAAGGCACTGAGCCTCCTAGAGCTTCAGCTTATCTCTTAAGCTTCTCAAATTCCATATGAGTGAAATCATATGAGATCTGTCTTTCTCTAACTTATTTTGGTTAGTATAATACCCTCCAGTTCCATCCACGTTGTTGCAAATGGCAAGATTTCATTCCTTTTTAGCATCAAGTAGTATTCATTGCATGTATATATCATATCTTCTTTATCCTCATCAGTTGATGGTAATTTGGGCTCATTCCATATTTTGGCTATTGTTGATAGCACTGCTGTAAACATTGGGGTGCATGTGCCTCTCTGAATCAGCATAAAATGAAAATTTTATTCTTTTTTTTTTTTTTTGAGATAGAGACAACGTGAGCAGGGGAGGGTCAGAGAGAGTGGGAGAAACAGAATCTGAAACAGGCTCCAGGCTCTGAGCTATTCCTCAGCACAGAGCCCGATGCGGGGCTTGAACCCACGAACCGTGGGAACATGGCCTGAGTTGAAGTCGGACTCTCAACCGACTGAGCCACTCAGGTGCCCCATAAAATGAAAATTTTAAAGTCAACTGGTTTTATAATTTTTTCAGATCAATGTTGAACTATTTGGATTGTTTGGCACAAAGCAAATTGTAATTTCTCACGCCTCCCAAACTGTTAATCGAACTGAAAGTACACCTAGCACAATCAAAGCGTTTCTTTCTAAACACTGTGCTGACCACCCAAACAACTGGGATGATCACCTATCAGCCATTTCATTTGCCTTCAATGTAACTCACTTGGTATGTTCTTTTTATACTTTTTATAATTCCTTGGTTTTGAGTTATGACTGTTTCTTGCTACATAATTTATTACAAATTGTTGTTTGTTTTCTTTAAAATAGGAGCCTACTAAGAATACACCGTATTTTCAAATGTTTAATCGAAATCCTTACATACCTGAGACTTCAGATATTCTTCATGAAGTGGATGGTGATGATACAAGTATGTTTGCCAAAATTCTAGGTGCAGTTAAAGAAGCTGGTAAATTATCAATAATGGAGAATAAGACAGCATCAGGAGGACAGGTGATTCTATTTAATAGAAAACTGTATAATCTAAAAATCCATAAGGTAATTTAAAAAATTTTGGCATACACATACATACACATGGATGTACACACACATCCACCCACATATGTATGATATACTAAGCTAAATTAGTATTTACTAATACAAATTCTATTTGTCTTGATAAAATAGTATGCTTATTACCTATAAAATTCTGAGAGATAGTAATGGGAGAACCTTGCATTTTAGAATCAAGTAGACCTGAACTCAGATTCCTTGTTTTGTTGCTTTCTAGTTTTTGATTTAGGCCAGTGGCTTACCCAGTCTCATTTTAACTTCTTTGTAAAGTTGGGGTAGTAATGATACTGGTTTTGAAATATTATTTTATGATTCAAATGGGATTCATGGCTGGTTTGTAGTAGTATCTCAGTAAAATAACCATTTTGTTATTACTTGCATTTACCCTCACGATACTACAGCGCTTTCATTTCTTTGTTCTCTTTTTTTATTTTGCTTTTCTAGGTGGAGAACAATTTTGAGGAACTAAATAAAAGCAAAATCATTGTTAAAAAGAAACCAAAGCAGTTAAATCCATTTCATCTAAAAGTGGGTCATGAAGTTTTAAGACAAAGGAAGAATTGGTGGAAGGATGGTCGTTTCCAGTCTGAATGGGTTGGTCCTTGTGTCATAGACTATATTACCGAGAGCGGATGTGCTGTTCTGAGAGACAACACCGGGACTAGACTTAAAAGACCTATCAAAATGTCCCACCTTAAGCCCTATGTAAGAGAATCCAATGAACAAGGTAAACATCTGTCACTTACCTACATTTTTACTCTTTGAATGAGGAGAAAGGTTAAAAATAATATAAGAATCCCCTGGCCCGAACTCTTTCTCTTAGGGTTTCTTTTCCCTTCTCATGTATATAAAACGTGGTATAGTCTTAGATACTGGTTATTCTGTTTTATTAGGATGTCTCTTCTGAAACTGTCAGGCTTGTAGGAGATTTTATTTTGATTTCTGGTTTAGTTTTCACACATTTGCCCCCCAGTTCACGTGGGAAATGCTGGACCTATTCACAGAAGGAAGAATTAAACCTTTTCTCTTTTCACTTTCAGAAGATTTTACTTGTCACTTTGTGCCTCATTTAGCATGAGAAAATATCAACTAAGATAAATAAGGCCAAAACCAACCATACTATCTAGAATTCTATTGTGAGATAAATAAATACACTAGGGGACTTTTAAAAAAGTGATTGATTTGTATTGTTGCGCCATAGTCAAGTCATGATGGATGCAGGGGAGGGTGCAAATTGGGATGTAGTCAGAATGTTATAAGGTGCTATCATAAGAGGTGATAACCTTTTGAAAGCAAGGTTATACTTGCCTCCCAAATATGGCTTTGAACAGTCAGGAGGATATCCTGATTTCTTTAACTCTTTCGTTCATAGATTAACAGATAAATAACAGACATTTCTCTATGGCTTTAAATCGCACTTTCTCAGTAAAGTTTTATTCCAGCCTGTTGTTAACTGCTTCTTAGAGATTCTCTCGGGTGGGTCTGAGAGAGGGAATTGGTACCTCAGCCAGTTAATTTCGCTTTTCCTATAAAGGAGTATTATTTGAATATTAGTAAAAATTGAAGGAAGATAAATTTAGTACCAGGCTAAAGTGAATATTATAAGAGCAACAACAGGCTATTTATATTTACCCTAGTTTTATAGGATAAAAATGCTCTTGGGAGCTGCTCAGGAATAGTTCAGCTTTGCTTCCGGTCTGGGTTACACCCCTCATGTTTAAAATGTAGCACTTTTCCTTCTGCTTGTGACAGCTTAATTGCTCTGTTAGTAAACTTACCTTGGACTGTTTTAATTCTGAAAGCTCACAATACTCATTCTCTTTCTTGGAAGATCGACACCTTCATTCCTTGTAGCTCTTGTCAGTGCTGAGCTCCCTTCATGATTTGTCTTATGCAAATTAAGTAGAAAAAACCCAATTATACAGGTATATGTTGTCCTTTTTTCTCTAGCATGATTTTCTCCCTAATCTCAGCATTCAGAACTTGCTCCTTTCTAATGTGTAAGCCTTCCATAATTAATACAAAATTTACATTTAAAATGTTGCTAAATCAGGATCTGTTTCAACATTTTACAGTTTGCTCTTATCAAAGACTTTCTCAGAAAGGAGACCAAACATTTTGCTACTCCTGCATATTTCAGAATCCAATTGAGTAGAACAGTTTCTAAACAGAGGCAGTCTAATTTTTGCCTCATGCTTGAATTTTCTGCAGATATTTCTTCCAGTAATATAAAAGAAATTACAATATTAGTACTAGTGTGCATATAAGAAACCTGAGATAAATGGGTAAAATTGTTTTTTCTTGTTAATCAAAGGAAGTGTGTTCTGGCCATCCTGGAATCTGCTTCTTGATTACTATTCCTTATTTTGTATTTTTCTTTGTAGAAATTCAAAATAAATGTTATTTCTGCCATCTTTTTCTTCAGTTTCACATATTTTCCTGAAAATCTTTTAACTCAAAAGCTGATTTTTTTTAAAGAGTCCTTGAACTGAATGTGAAAGCAAACTAAATGTTTTTGAATGACTTAAATCCTGTTCTTTTCATTTGGCATAAATTTGGAAGAGGTGTAGCCAAAAGACCTATGAACTCGTTCATCTGCACTTGTCTTTGCTACTCTTACCAGCCAGGAGATCTCGTAGCTGTTTTAAAGACTCACTGTCCAAAGCAGATAAGCTTTTGTTGCCAGCTTCTTATCCATTCTTATCTAGAACATAATGTAGAGGGAACACATTCAGTACTAGGTCTACAGTATTTTTCACTGCTATTTTAAGCAAGCCTATGTCATTCTGTCTAATTCAATGTCAGGTACCTTTTCAAGACTAATTATTTTAACAAGAAGTTTTATGACATTCCATACTATCTTTTAAAGTTCTCTTTGCATCTAGCCTTCTCCAGTATTAAAAGCCTAAGAGTGAACTTTGATTTTGAATCTTTAGCAACACATCCTAAAAGTATTTCAGATGCATTGATCACATTTTTGCTCTTTCTTGCTGTTCTTGGGCAGTGGCACTTCTCATGGGTTGCATGATTTGGTTTTTATCTTTCAGAGTACCTCTTGTCCAACAGTTCATCCCTTGCTAATGTAGAAAAATTATTTTCTTACCAACTTCAATTATCCATACTTTATCTTCTTACCGTCCTTCTCAATTTTAGTTCCTGCTTTTCATGAATAAGAATTGGTGGGGTAAAACTTGGAAAAACATCTCAAAACTAAAATACCAAGTATACTATGCCTAATGAAGAATAAAATGGGTAAAACTAAATGCCCATACAAGCCAATTCCACTTATACTATCTGTGGGTAGAGAGCATGGCTTTGATCTTTGAAGTTTTTAATTCAAAAGTTCTTAAATATTGTAAACTTGTAAATTAATGGATTAGATTAGGCTTAGTGAGCTTTCCACATATTAGTTAGCATGTGAATGGGTAGAATAGGATCATATTTTAGGGTTTATTAGGAAATTTATATGCTCTGAGAAATTTTTGTTCGTCTCTTATCTAAATGGGCAATTTTCCTTTTGATATTTCTTGAGCTTAAAATTTGAGGATTCTTTAAGCCATTAAAATCTTAGAATCATGAATGCTTTGGGAGAAAAATCCAGGAATAGAAGGCAGGGGTCCAGGAAGTTAATCATTTATGGCAGAAGAATTCTTTGTTGTAATGAATTAAAATAACAGGTAGGGAGGAATCCTTTTATATACATTAATCTTTTTTATTTTTATTTTTTTTTAATTTTTTTTTTAATGTTTTATTTATCTCTAGGAGAGAGAGAGAGAGAGACAGCGTGAGCAGGGGAGGGTCAGAGAGAGAGGGAGTCACAGACTGGAACAGGCTCCAGGCTCTGAGCTGGCAGTCAGCACAGAGCCCGACACGGGGCTCGAACCCATGAACCGTGAGATCATGACCTAAGCGAAAGTCGGACGCCCAACCGACTAAGCCACCGAGGCGCCCCTACATTAATCTTTTTTAAATAAAGATGCTACTCCTTTGCCATCAGTTTAAAATTCATATTAAGCACTTTTTTCCTGACAGTGATGATAACTTTGCTCAAAATAGAATAAAATGCTGGCAAGGGAAATTCCTTGTCAGTATCTCAGTTTGAATTTAGCTGTACCTTAAAAGTTCATGAACATTTTGGTATTAAATTAGACTTAGGTTAGCTAAGCATTTTAAGCCCATTTACACACAAGCTTGCCTACTTACTTGTATCATATAAGCCTGACTTTAGTAACTCACAGAAGCTGATTCCAGTAACTTCATATTCATGTTCGTTTATTATTTCATATTATAAACAATTTGATATTATTGTTCTAATACATATTCTATGAAATTATCTAAAGTTACAAATGTGAGGATTTAATTTGTTAAATATCATTCAAGATCCCATTAATTCACCCACAGGAGCTTTTAAGGATATCATCAACATCAATAATAGAGTTTTATAACTTTGCTTTTAATCTTTATCATAATCTTCTGCCCCTTCTATCCTTTCACCCATACCTGGCAAAGACAGATCAAGGTAACAGGAAGACTTGGCTCTTTTAGAATTTTTGGTCTTTCCTGATCTCTATGCATATGAACTGTATGTGTCATTTTTTTTTATTGTTTATTTATTTATTTTGAGAGTGCGTGCCTGCACGAGTAAGGGAGGACAAGAGTTGAGAAGGTGAGAGAGAATCTCAAGCCGGTTCTATGTTGTTAGCATGAAGCCTGATGTGGGGTTTGATCCTACGAATCATGAGATCATGACCTGAGCTGAAATCAAGAGTCAGGCAACTTAACTGAAGTGCCCTGTATATATCATTTTATTCATCCTTTGACATGTATATTTATTTAGTAGAAAGAGAACCCACCAGAAGTTAATCTTATAATTAATTTTTATTACTTGGGGTTTCATCCTTATTTAACATTGTTTAATTTTAAAATGATGTTTAATTATAATTCTAAAAGTTGACCTTATGATGTTTCCTCTTTCAGATAGTCTTTATCTCTTACAAGGTTCAGTAGTGGCAGATCATGACTACATCGGATTGCCTGAAATTCCAGTTGGAGCATACCAAGCAAATATTCTGGTAGAAGATGCAACTATTGGCGTAGTCGATAATGAATTACTGACATCAAGCAAAGATGGTGAACTATTAGACTATAGAAGTGCCAAAATCTCTCCATTGATGGAAGATCATAGTACTCTTGAAAAGCAGACTTTCAGTCTGTTGGACTCTTCAAACCAAGTTCTTGAGTACTTAAGTTAGTAAATACTAAAGTTCATTTAAAGTGTTAGTTTAGAATGTATAACTTCTTGAATCTTGGTATCTTTTCCATTCAGAAAAGTTGTATAGAAGTGTCTTGACACAGTTTCAATGACTAAATACTGAAGGTTTATTTTATAACTATTAATTTATATAAACTTATGTTTGAATGTCAGAACATAGATATATAAAGGCAAAGAAAGCATATATAGAATTCCCTTTTTCTTCTGAAAAGAGAATAGGCAAAGCATGATTACTTCTTAGGAAAGAAATTAAGTTCCAGCTCAGAACTCTCAGATATTTCTCTGGAAATGGTGTCATGTTTTCAGTTTAAATTTTTTTTGGAATAATTTCTCCCTTTAAAAAGTAAGTTCGCACTACGTAGAATGGGATTAATAAATATTTATTCAATCATAACAATGAATTAAGTGAAATTTCTTTCTGTGTTATAGGAACTTTTAGAAATAATATTGTAGATTAAAATTTAGAGTTGTTTAATGAACTCTTACAAGATATTGATAATTTCACCTTGTAGGCTCAGAATTTGTATCTGAATCGATACATTGATTTGAAAACATTTGTGCATTTCTATAATATATATTAAAGCAAAAAGCACAATTAATAAGATTTTTTTCAATCTTAAGTAAATAATAATAACTAATATCAAAGGTTTTAAACTAAAAGCTCTGATATTCTGATATATTTGTTATAAAGCACTTTGAAGAATTTTGTGGGAAAATTAAAGAATGAGCCATATGTGTGTCTCATCTTCATAAGGGAGTTAAAATGTGGTAAAGATTATAGGCCATATAAGCCATGTATAACACAAGTTACAAATTATACGCTAAAGTCCATTAGAGAAGTACAAATAATATACATAGGGTGTCAAGGAGGAGACATATTAACTTCTAGATAAAAAACTTAAGATTATGCTTACAAAAGAAGGATCACTTGAGCTTGACTTTGAACAATGCACAGGATGTGATGAGAGAGTATAAAAGAATTAAAGGAAGAAAAATGAACAGAGTCAGAAAAATACTATATTTTTCACAGAAAGGCAGGGCTTCTGATTGTATACGGTACCTCAGGAACTTACATTCAGGAGTAATGTATGGGAAAATAAAATTGAAAAGGGAAGTATGAAACTTTCTGGAGGGCAGTGACTACAGTTATGGATTAAATTGTGAAGTACTAAACTCTGGTACCTCAGAATATGATCTTACTTGGAAATAACAGTTATAGATGTAAACATTAGTTTAGATGAGATCATATGGAGTAGAATGGGGTCCTAATCCAATATTACTGATGTCTTTATAAAAGGGAGAAATTTGAACACAGACTCAAGTGGAATGCCATATGAAGAGGAAGGTAGGGAATGGGCAGATATCTTCTACAGGCCAAAGAATGCCAAAGATTACTAGCAAAGCTCCAGCAACTAAGTAAGGAAGGGGCATGGAACAGATTCTTGCTCACGGGCCTCAGAAGGAATCATCCCTGTTAACATCTTCATTTTAGATTTGTAGCCTATAGAACTGTGAGGCAATAAATAACCTTTTTTTATACACAACCCAGTTTATGGCACTTTGTTATGGCAGTCCTAACAAAGTAATACAAACACTTAGCTAAATTATTTATTGTTTTCTGAAGACTACTGAAGGTTTTATTTTTGTTTTTGTTTTTTACTTTTTTCCTTTCTTAATGTAAGTTCTGTACCTCGCATGGGGCTTGAAACCATGACCCCTAGATGCAGTCACCTGCTCCACTGACTGAGCCAGTCAGGCTCCCTCCACTGAAGGTTTTTGTATAGGGAAATGTCATGATCAGAAATACATTTTAGGGAGACTCCTGCCTAGGTGGCTCTGTCGGTTAAGTGTCCAACTTCGGCTCAGATCATGATCTCTCAGTTTTGTGAGTTTGAGCCTCGCATTGGGCTCTGTGCTGATGGCTCAAAGCCTGGAGCCCAGTTTGGATTCTGTGTCTCCCTCTCTCTCTGCCTCTCCCCTGCTCGCACTCTGTCTCTCTGTCTCAATTAAAAATAAATATATTTTAGGAGGTTTAATCTGACAGCTAGTAAAGATTAGAGGAAGACAGAAGAAGAGAATGGGAATTAGTTGATACAGTTTTGCAGTGATGAGTAATGGGAACCTAAACTATCAATGAATACAGCATTTTTCAAGATCTACAGAATATCTCACCCATTACGTATCAAACTTACTGAACAGTGATATGATACTGGAAATAGTATTTACTGGAAATATGCAATTACTCATTTAAGAAGAAGGTTTAGGGTCACCTGGTTGGCTCAAGTCGGGTAAGAGTCTAACTTCAGCTGAGGTCATGATCTCGCCTTTCATGGGTTTGAGCCCCCTCTTGGGCTCTGTGCTGACAGTTCAGGGTCTGGTGCCTGCTTCAGATTCTGTGTCTCCTGTCTCCACCCCTCCCCCATTCATACTGACTTTCTGTCTCAAAAATAAACATTAAAATTTTTTTAAAAAGGACAGATTAAATTATGTTTAATATGGGCTGAAGGATAAATGATTGAAGGGGAAAAAAATGTATCTGCGGCCTTATACCATAGACCAAGTAAATTCTGGGTAGGGGTCTAGAAAGAAATCTTAAGAAAGCACAGTTGTCCCAAATAGTGATATATCCTGTTCCCATCAGTAGAACAAAGTTGGTGATACTGTCATATTGGACCCTTGATGGTAAATATAATTGGTCAAGTGTCCTTCGGCCAAATGAAATGACTTTCCTCCAATGATAATCTCATTCAAAATCAGCCTCTTTTTTGTTGTAAGAAGGTAATTAGTGATGAGTCATTTTTTTTTAAGTTTATTTATTTTGAGAGAGTAAGCGCAAGAATGGATGATGGACAGAGAGAGAGAGAGAGAATCCCAAGTAAGCTCCAGGCTGTCAGCATAGAGCCCCGTGTGGGACTCAGTCGCACAAACTATGAGATCATGACCTGAGCTGACATCAAGTCAGACATTCAACTGACTAAGCCACCCAGGTGCCCCAAGAGTCATAATTAAATTTCTAGATACTTCAAAAAAATTCTGCCCTCTGTGACTAACTTGTGATCAAACTGATCTTTATCTTGTGTGCACTGATCATGGTGGGCTACACTATGCTGTTTCTATGAACCACCCCAAAATCTTAGTGACTTAACACAATGAAACTGTTTCTTGGTTTCTTGGCTATGTTCTTGGTTGATTAAGGGCATGGCTCCATTTTTATCCTCACTCCTAAGAGACAAGCTGATGGAGCCTCACCTGTGGAATACCAGCCACCATGGCAAGGGGAGAACATGGTGAACCCAGCACTAGTTATGAAGAGACTTGCTGCTATGTCATGCACAACCTTCCTACTCCAATTACAATGGTCAAACCTAGTCATACATTGCTAACAGGTACAAGTTTCTTTCTGTGGCAATGGTACAAAAGTTCTAAAGTTAGTGGTGTTAGTTAACCTAACTGAAAATACTAAAATCCACTGAATTTTACACTTTAAAAGGGTGAATTTTATGGTGTGAGAGTTGTATCACAATAAGATTATCATAAAGAGTCTAAACCAAAACTAAAAAAAAAAAAAAAAAAAAAACTAGCCACATGGCCACACCTAATACCAAAGGATAGTTAAGAACTATATTCCTGGAAGGAGGAAAACTGAAATAGTGGCGGCTAGCTATAATAGCTGCTGTGCTTACCTTTGTTTACAAATTGTATTATAGGCCATTTTGATGAGTTATTTTTACTTCCTGATAAATAGGCAATATAAACTATTCATATAAGCTGCTGATTGTATTGCTGAAATCTCAGGATTCAAATGTAGTCTAATTCCAAGTACAGATTATAAGTAACCAAATACAAAAAATAACAAATTATATACATAAACAGTCTTGTCTCTAGTGTTTGCAGGACTCTCTCCTTGAAAATGGAGGTCAACATACCATATGCCTAAATAATCAGAAGTTATAACTCACACTAACTGTTCCTACCTTGGCAAACATGCCTTCCTAAGGTTCCCAGAATTCTTGGACTCCTCGAGCCCTGTACCGATGAGTGGCAAAGCAGGGCGAGCTGGACTCAGCTTTCTTTGTCCCAGCGCTGTCCTCTCCCAAGGACAACCCACCCCAGCTCCTCCAGGTGTGCTGCTTCAACAGTCCAGACCTTTGGTATGTGCTTTCCAGCTTCATCCACTGTCCTGAGATGGACCGGGAAGGGGTTCTGCAGGTGATGAGGGACATGTTCCTGGGGACTGTGATCTTCTCACCCCATAGGGAGGGACATATGATAGAATAGGACAGAGCCTAGCTCTCAAGCAAAGGGTCTAGAGTTGGAGTCTCTCTTGTCTGTATTTAAGGGAGGTTTTCTATAAGTATATTGTAAGATTTTGACAGATGTCCAGAAATGTCTTTATGAGGTATGCCACCTTGTGGTATACACTTAAAAATATGATATAGTAGGAAATGGAGATGCTGATTTATAATAAAGGAAAAATAAATGAGAATAATATCTTGGTTTGAAAAGTTATTTTTAAGCATCATGACCAACATTTGAAATGTAAAATTTTCTTATATGATCATCTTAAAAAACGCAGCTCCCTAAGATTTATAAAAGAAAACTTACTACATGGTTAGTTAATGGATTCATTCATACAATAAAAAAATGGTACGTATTTAAAAAATAGGGCATGTCTGGGTGGCTCAGTTGGTTAAGCATCTGACTCTTCATCTCAGCTCAGGTCTTGATCTCCGGGTTCAACTCACTTGAACTGTGAGTTCAAGTTTTGTGTTGGGCTTCATGCTGGGTGTAAAGCCTACTTAAAAAAACAAAAAACAATAGGTATTAAATGCCTACTCTGCTGCAGGTACTGTTCTAACACTGAGGTTATATTAGAGAGAAAGAAAAATCTCCACCGTCCTAGAGCTTACCTTCCAATAGGATAGTGAAGTAGTAACTGGTAGTCCTTAATGAATACATTACTTACTTCAGTCTTAAAATCTCATCGGTAGCCTTTTGCACAGACATCTTGTTGGGATCCCTATGTTAGGCCTTGAAACAAAATTAAGTATTGTGTTCTGCTTGTTTTGACTGCAAAGAAAGTTGTAACTTTTTTTGTTCAGAGCTCTTCAAAGGACTGTGCCACTTCCGTTGGGAGTTTCTAACTCTAATAGTTAAAAGCAAAAATAAGCATTTAAAAAGTAAACTTATTTCAAACTTTTGTTTTCTACAAATGCATTTATTATTAAATGGGAAATGCTAGCTTCGTGCAGTGTTAACATTTTAAGCAGGCAAAGATCAATTCAGTGTCATTAAATTAAAAAGTATCTAAGTCGGTAGCTTACCCTGAGCTTGAGGCCCAGGCCAAATGTTTCTTTTGCTTCTTCTAACCCGTCAATGTTCTTCTCACCCCCTTTTTTACTTCCTCATGCCTGTTAATGCTACATCCCTTGTGTCCCAACTCAAACTTGTTAAGAAGTTAAGTAGCCCTGGTCCCAGGGGACTTCCCTTATCTGACCACCTCATCATTCAACCTTTGAAGGTCCTTGTGAGGAGCACACAGGAGAGCCAATTCCTTAGTCTGGTGGGTAGCTGGAGGAGATCAGATAGCCAACGACAACTTCATTCCTCTCCTCTACTTTGAGATGAAGCCTCTGTTAGTTCTGAAAGTTCTCAGGAATTAAAAGGAGAATGGAGGACAAACTAAAGGAAAGGGAGTCTTGACTGTAATCCTTCCCCTGTACCATTTTCACATGGTGGTGGAGAGAAAAATACTAAATGGAATGGTTCTCTTCCTCCAATATTACAATTTTCTATTTCATCATAATACAAAATCTATAGTCTCTGGGCTTTTGAGCAGTATTTTATACTGGGTTTTGCTCTTTTAGAATTTCATCTATCTATATACATATATATAAATGTATAATTTTTCAATTTTATATGGTACAGTGATAAAATGATCATAGTGGTGGTTTATGTGACTTGGTCACAGCAAGAAGTAAATTACTGGCAAATCTGCCTATGCTTTCAGAATAGGACTTAGAGTCAGACTTCTATTAAGCCATACTGATCACAAATTATGTTTAATAATCACTAATTTTACCTAAAGTAGTTAATATGTTATGGGTTGAGAGGTAATAACTTCTTTTTATGTAATGTAGATAAAACACCTAAAAATCCAGAAAAAATACATATATATTAAAAACTCATAATTCAACACACAAAAACACAACAACCCAATTAAAAAATGTGCAAAGTACTTGGTTATGCACTTCCCAATTGAAGATATACAAATGGCCAAAAAAGCACAGAAAAAGATGCACACTCAACATCATTAGTCATTAGGAAAAAGCAAATCTAAACCATAATGAGATATCACTTTACATCTCCTAGAATGGCTGTAATAATTTTTTAGTGGAAAATAGCAAGTGTTGATGAGAATGCAGACAAATTGGAACACTGGTACATTGCTGATAGGAACATAAAATGATGCAGCCCCTGAGGAAAACAGTCTGGTTGTTTTTCAAAAACCTAGACAGAATTACCATATGACCCAGTAATTTCA